AAAAAGAAAAAGAAAAAGAAATAATTATGAAAATTCTCCCATTTAATTTTCTTACACATTGCCCCAGGTCTCCACCTGCTGTTCTGGTCTAATCGCACCCCTTTCACTCTCAACAGTGTTGCTATGTAGACGATTCATTATGTGGTCATCCTAAAACCCTACTTTACATTTTGTAGCATTTTCTATTCCTGTGTCCAAAGTTTTATTTCACTCTAAGTCACTTAAGATCCAAAATCATTCTGACTTTTGATGTGTCTTTGAAAGAACAAAGCAATCTTAGCAGTGAAATTTGTCTAGTGCTGAGAAAAAAATACATCAATATTGCCTCTTCTCTCTCCCTGTTAATACCTCAGAGAGTTACTACTGGATGTATAAAAGAACAGGACACATTTTAATAAGTGCACCTGTAAAAATCAGCATGACGGATAAGCCTTACCACTGACTCCTATAGGAGGGAGGACGTGTGCTCATGTCCACGCCAAGCACTATGGACGTGGACCGCCCTCCAGGGCACTACTGTTGAGATGATGCTTCTTCTGTCCCTCTCCCTAACCCATCACCTCCACGGAGGTGCTTACAGAAGCAATCTCACGCCAGCGGGGGAATCGTGCTATGCAGACAGTGTGGTCAGTGTGGTGCAGAGCTTTCCTGTGGGAGAGACTCCTGCTTGACACGAAAGCCACCCTCTGCCCCTGCACGGAGGGATGTCATAGTCACCTGCCTACTCCTCACTGGCACTGCCCAAGTTACTCCTGAGGAATGGGGCTCAGTCCACACCAGGTCTTTCTGTCGTCATCACATCTGCCTTTCAAACTCCCCAAGAACAAGCCTCTGGAGACCCTGCTGACCTCCCTATGCAGTGCCTGATCACAGCTGAGAAGAACCACGTGGCTTAACCTTAAAATGAGCGACTCGTGGCAATATAATAGTCAGTTGGTTCCCTATCAATTATTTGAGTATCTGTATTTAATCGAATATCAAATACAATAAACAGGAAATGCTGATGTTTGAGCATTACAGAAAAAGGACTTACTTCTGCCATTTTCCGAGGCAGAGAGGTTTCAAACGTCTGAAGCTTTTCCCAGTAGGAAACCAGTAACTGAAGAACATCACAGGCCACCTGGGCCACGGTTTTGTTAGGAAACTGTACAAGGAAACAAGATCCAATAATAAATACAAACTCGGTAAGTGCATTATTCTTAAGAACATGAGAGTTATTTCTTCCCAGGTCCAGTGAAGTTATATTTATTTGTTGGAAGCATGTCTTATTTCTAGAGAGTTTACACACAATCACACCACCATTCTATAACGGCCTCTTGTATACCATAGTTAGTTAATTCGTATAATGTTCTATAAAAACAAATATGCCATTTAATCATTTGAAAATTAAAACCCTTGCTTATTTAGCTTACACAAATCGTATTTGTGACAACTAGAGGAAATTAAAATGTAGTACATTATCAACTGGTGTGCTGAACCTTTTACAAGAATTTCATTCATTTTCTCATTGATAAATCTTCCCCGATAGCTCTGCAAAGTAGATGTGATTTTATTTTATACAAAGAGAAACAGTGATAGATCAAATGACTCTCTGTTCTATGTCTTAAACATACTAAGAGTATGCACGATTACAGACCATAAGAACATAACTCCGAGTTCTGATACACTGAATTATCTGGAGTGTGCATCTCAGGTTGCCACTGAGGTCTCCCCGGCGCTTCCGTGGACTGTGAGAAGGCAGGTAAGGGGGCAGCACCTATGGGTCTTACTTCCTCATGCAGAAAATGCATGAAAGGGATGAGAGGCGACATTGCTGCCCATACCTCATCACCTAGAGCAGAAAGGTTCATCACCAATCCTGAGTCCCTGGCCTAGGGAAACCTTACTTCAAGTCCGGTGAAGCTGATGCCCTCTGACAGGCACACCCCATAAATACTGAAGAGTCAGGGCCAAGCACCTCCATGCCACAGGCGCCCGGAACAGGGGGAAGGGAAAGGTGGTTAACTTCAATTCTACAGAACTTCCTTGGCCAGCCAGACCCTGATCTCCACAGGCCTCTTTCCAAACCTCAGGTGCCGGCCTATTCCTGCATGAGACGCTCGTTGCCCAGGTCTGCACATGGCCGACACTGCTACCTCCCTCAGATCATGCCACAGAATACCATCTCCTCCGTTAGGCCACCACACCCATCTAGAGAGTGGCAGCCCACCCTCCAGCTGTCGTGCTCCCCTGGGGTCTTTGTCCTAGCACTAGAGGCTCTCGGAGAGGATCCTTTGTATTTCTCATTGCCCTGCATATCTCATCTGTTCACCACCCACAGAACCCCATATGGCACCTGAAGGACAGTGAAGATGGGACACTGAGCGAGGGAATGTGAGTGGGTACGGGGGCACGGCTGCCACCCTGAGAGGGAACGTGAGTGGGTACGGGGGCATGGCTGCCACCCTGAGAGGGAACGTGAGTGGGTACGG